TCTGGAATCCTGAAATTCTGCCGGTGGAAGCAATTCTACTCTACTGTCGATATCACGATACGCGCCCAGGCCGATTTTGTGTTCTGATAGGACACAGCCTCGCAAATAGAACCATTGATCGGAAGCCTGTCAGCGGAAGGGTGGTAATCCTCCGACTGAAGCTACAACAGGTTAAAGTTTTGATTTTGTTACAGGTTTATGCGTCCAGTATGGGTCTTTCCTTTGGGAATTGGAATGTGTTCTGTATGAAGTGTTGAATATGGAATCCCTCATTCTAATGAGCCATTTTAATGCTCATGTCAGAATAGACACTGAAAATCGAAAAGGCGTGATTGGAAAGAACGGTTATTAGAAACCTTGGCGTTAACCGCTTGAAGTTGTTGCGGTTTTGTGCAAATAACGAAACGTTTTGTTACAAGCAGCTTCTTCCAGCATCAAAGCGTGCGCCAGTGTACTTGGTACAAAGAGGCTAGGGCACAGAAGTCGATGATCGATTTGATAATCGTATCGTCTGACCTAAGACGCTCAGTAATGGATGTTTGTGTTAAGAGAGGCGCAGAGCTGTCAACCGTTCATCACCTTGTTGTTTGCACGCTGCGCTGTAAGAAATGGAGTACCATACGAAGATCTGGTGGCAGAAGCAAACATATAGTCCGGTGGGAAAAATTATCTTCTGCGGATACGAGAGCAAAACTTTCAAACACATTGCAAACGATTTGAAAAGATTCTAAAGATTACTGCTGATATAGAAACCGACTGAAAGCTCTTTAACATACACTTACTCATAGTTGCCTGCGAATTCTGTGGTCTAAAACTGGTTGGCCTGCCGAGTTGAGGTCAGAACGATCTTTCTGATGGCCAAAGGACTTTCACTTGGCTGTCAGCGAGAATAAAACTGCATTCAGAGAACGGCTTCTAAGCAAATGGCCTTCAACTCGCATGCATTCTGAAGAAGCGCGCAAAACGGCACCCAAAGGTGATTCCTGGGATAAGTTTGGCGGAAGCGTTGAAGTCGAATTTTCCGAGGGCAAACA